TCACTCAACAGTGAAAAGCAAACCTTGCAAGACAAATATTCAGGCAGAGCCTAAATCCTAACTATTAAAAATGCATGAGGAGAAACCAAAACCACACTACATAGAAAATTAAAAGGGTATAAAAAACTAACCTGGTGTGAAATGTCACACCAACTGGCCACGTACTTTTAGAGAAACAGGAATTTTTACTCCATTTTAAAACACAAACTTGACTGCATAATGTGAGATTAGCTTGTCATCCAGCTTTTCCTTGTGAAGAGGCTGAGTGGAGGAATTGTTTGTTTTGAAGGGAGCTGCTTTTTCCTTTTTTTTTGGGGGGGGGGGGAGGAAGAGGGAGAGACTGTATAGCCATCTTAAATTACATTCTGTGCATGTGCCCCAGTAACACAATAATAGCATTCCTCTTGTAAATAAAAATACCACACACATTGCTTGAGGAAGTTTACAAAAATTAAACTTGCAATTTACCTTTACAAGGAAATTAACAGTAAGTTAGGAAAAGTATAATAAAAAGAATAAGTTACACAGAACATCTTCAGGGAGAGAAATACTGAGCGCTTCCCCTTTTAGCCAGACAGCCTCTTTAAATACTAATAACTACACTCATCTGAAGCTCTTATCTTGTTCCAAATGGCAGCCTGATACTGTGACAGTAGAAGTTGAACTGACTGAAGAAATCCAGAAAAAGGCCACTGAACATTCTACCTGCTGCAAATGCCCAAAACTAGACAAAGCCAAAAAGCAAACTTTCAGTTTTCTGTGAGAAAAATATGTAGCACCAATGAACTGATTTCTGGAAAAAGCATACATGAGATATAAGCCATAATGCTTAATGATTCATTACATCTTAAAATGTAACAACTTTTGAAGTCACTTTGCAGTTTATTTTTAATTCCCTTGTTTAAAAACACATCAGAAGAAAACAACATATTTTAGCAATTACTGTCCAGTAAAATATTAATTCCTTTCCCCAAGTTGAAACCAGTCAAGTTTCTTTTGTTTGCTTTTTTGTGTCCTCAATTAAATGAGGACAGCTGTGGAAATACTTTGACAGCTAACACAGAAGTTCAGACTAACAAAATCTTTATTCTAAGTGAGTTACATGAAAGTTCTCATCTCCAAAGCACCCTGTTTAACAGAGGTGTCAATAGTTATGCTTCCAGTACAGACAAAAAAAATTAACAAGAAAAGCAGGGAAGAGGTATGGATACAGAGGGTCATGATAAAAATTGAGGCGCTCTAAAAAATTTCCTACAAATTATTTTTCCGCAAAATTTCTCCTTTCATTTGCTTAAAAATAAATAAATGCTCTGAAAGACAGGTCCAAATGGTACATTCAGGAACAACAGTTAACATTTGCTTATGTTCTCACCCTTCAGAATTCTCAGCTAGTAGATCTGAAATGCAGAATTTATTTTTAAAGAGCTCTGATGTTGCCTGACTGAAAAATAAATTTAAATTAATATATTCAGAATGAACCAGATTTGTTAGGCCAGGGTACTCAGATTTATACAAGAAATTCTAATTTATTCTGAAGCCCTGTTCTTATATATCCTTAACTCCCAATCACGTTTTATCCTTAGAATGAACATTTGAACAGGAAATTGGGAAGCAAGGTTTTTTCCTTTAATTACCATGGATTGAAATAAAATTAGATTAAAACTACTGCAAATGAAAATACACACTTGCCCTATGCTTATTGTTCTCTGTCATATTTTAGACTTACCTTTGATGCCCCTTTAGTGGAAAAATACAGGCCAGATCTTCTCAAAAGAAAGTATAATTTTTTCCATGATGCTTTCTTCCCCTGCTCCTTTGCATGCAAATAACCATGAATTTCAGGATATGTGCTGGAACTTAGGAACATCTGAAACAAAATATTGCATATGTATTTCCCACCTGAAGCCAGCTCTCTCTTCTATTAACATACTATTCAACAGTTTTGCCAACATTATACTAAAATTTAAATGTTTAAATGGTGCAAATACACACTTCAAAAATGGAAAATTATACACATGCCTCAAAACAGTGGGACCATCTACAGCATAAAAGACACTGAACAAAGTTTCTGGTAACTAAAGGAGGAGGTTAATCCTTCAAAGATCCATCAGAAATTTAGAGAAGGCAATAAATAACACCATATAAAATATAAAACCTAAGTTCTTGCACCCTGAAAGAAAGAAGAGCCTTCTACAAAACTTAAGGAGGTCAGATAGATATTCATGGCAGTAGTTTGTAAGTTTAATTTAAAATAATGCTCTAGGGTATTTTGTTTGTTTTTGTCCTGTTTTTAAAAGTGGTGGGTTAATGCCATATCTCCCAATTCTAACTCCTGCCAGCTGAAAAACCACTGGAAAGGAAACAAGTTTATAAGAGGTAGGCACATGTCATCGTTTTGGGGTGAGGGAGCATATCACCACTTATACACACACAACCCCTCTCTCTACCACACAAAAACCCAAACATGCACACTTTGAGCACTGACTGAAAATTAAAGTATGCATAAAGTGACCCTGAAATCAAAGCTAAATTTCAAACCCTCAGGAGAAGAGCCTTCCTCCTAGAGAAAAAAAAATTAGCTGCATTATTTTGCAAATACATTAGGCAGAAATATTCCAAGTCCTTGACGAGGTAAAAATTTGTTATTCCCTAGGATAGTTTGCAGATATTTACACAGTATGTTACCACAACGTTCTGTGCCAATGTGACACTATAGTTTTACAAACATTGAAGCCACAGAGAAGCAAACACCATTTATTATGAGGGAATTGGCCTTTAATAGACAGATAAAGGTACATATATTCCATAAAGAGCATTCCTTATTAGTTCAGTGCATTGCCCTTGCTATTTGTATTGAATTTTCTAAAGGAATATATCATGCCTTTTGAAAATTTGACAGAATGCCCAAGAAATTGTATCAGATACTGGAACACTTCTTAATTCAACCCAAGAAACAGATTCAGCTCCAGGCCAGGGGTTCTCAATCCATTTCCCTCATATAAATCTCTCATCTTGGAGTTCTTTGTGGAGTCCCTGCAAGGGGTGGGGTGATGTGGGGGGTGGTCACAGGGGTTACTCCTCTGACCCTCAGCTTCTCCCCCCACCCCAAATTTCCCCACCAGTTGCTGTCCCGGCCCATCAGGATAAGCCACTGGTAGGCTGGGACACTTTATTTACTTAAGTTTACCTCCATGCCTGTGGACACTCGAAGGAAAAACAAACCATCTCGGCCCACCAGCGGCTTATCCTGATGGCCCAGGAGCCAAAGTTTGCCAACCCCGAATTATAGGGTCGGTTTATGAATGGGTCATAAAAAATTTCCATTTTTACTTATCCATGGGGGGGGCGGGCGCGCGGGGGGTGGCTTATAAACTAACCAGCTTGTGATCAAGTATATACGGTATGTTCTCGTACTAACATAGTAATTTGTCTTATACACTATAACCATGATCCTGTAAAGTCTTAAGCAGACATGTAACTTTATGCACTCTGCAGCAAATTGTGCATCAGAAACTCATGTTCTGAAGCATTATTACATTTATTCTATCATGCAATACCCTTCATTCCCACATATTTACACCCTCACAAACACACACAGCAATAAATATTGAAATAAAATTATTGTTTTCTATGATGGTTACTTCAGGATGTGTTTTTTTTTGTGTGGCAATCTCCACACCACGGGCCTGGACTATGCACAATGTTTTCTAGGCAGTCAGGTCAGAACTACCTTCCCCTCCTGTGTGGAAAGGAAAGGAGAATGCTGTAGCTAGCTGCAGTGGCTCATCTCCCTGCTCCAGAGTCTTGGCAGTTGTGCTTTTCTCCAAGGTGTCTAGCTCATGAACTTGTATTTCTGGCGCTCTCTGCTCACTGTCTGAATGTTGGACGCCTGTTGTAGCATCCCAGCAATAGGATGGCTTCATGTCACAGAGCAAGAAGCATGCACTAAAACTGGAAATAAGGAGTAAATTTTTAATGGTGAGAGTAATTAGCCATTGGAACAGTTCACTAAGGGTCATGGTGGATTCTCCATCACTGACAATTTTTAAATAAAGATTAGATTTTTTTCTGCAAATTATTTTGGGGAAGTTTAATGGCCTGTGTTATACAGGAGGTCAGACTAGATCATCACGATGGCCCCTTCTGGACTTAGAATCTGTAAGCTATGAGCCAATTAACTTCCTCTTGTAGGGAAAGCTGGAGACAAAAAGTTGCAAGCAGAATCCAGGAGAGCAGGAAGACAGAACAAAGTATCAGGCACCTGGTTGCAGAAAAATGGCTAATCCCATGGAAATATGCTAAATTCTTATGGCTACAGAATCATTGAGCCCACAGAGCCTTAAATTATATTAGAGCAGTTTGTATCTCAGAGCTATTGTTTCAGTCTTGCTACAGATTCAGGCAGGCACATTGCTTTAATTACCATTCTCTTCATTTTTCTGAGGTTTGCCCGATGGCCCTAAGAGCTAAACACATATTTTAAATGAAAAGGAAAGATTGTGGAGCACAATTTTCCAGCAAAGGTCAAATTTTTCAGTAAAAATTTTTGCCCACAGAATCGCAGAATACACAGGGTCCTCTATGTCAATAGTCCCATCAACAGGACTATTCATGCACAGAACAGTCTCAGAATCAGGGCCTAGAGCTGCTTATGCGAACGGTTTTCCAGCATTGCTCACAGCTGAAGGGACCAACATCTCCATTGCAATGTAGGCACTGTTTCACAATACAGCTCCGTTTCAGCAGCCATAAGTGATATTTATCATGCAAGAGTGCACTTGAAGGAGGCATAAACATTGTGATTAGTGAAAAGAAGGAAACGCTAATTTTGCTTTCTTATTGCTTTTGGTTTTGAACATTGCTTGATGAGCCCACAAATATCAAATAATGCGGGCTTCTAGAAGCAAGAAGTTTGAGGCAAAGACGTGCTAATCTCAACTTGAAAGTGTATGCGTCTGAGATATTATCAAGGCTAAGAAGGTTTTACGGCATATGACAGAGGAAGATGAATAACGTAAACATACAAATACATTATTTTTCAGGCACATGTGATAGTGAATAAAGAGACTATATTAAAGCTGTAATTTAATCCTACAGACCAATTTCAAAGGGAGAGTTTGAAAGAGTTGCACTGCTGCAGTGCTGTGGTATAGACTCTTACAACAGTGACAGAAGGGATTCTTCAGTAGCTGCAGTAAATCCATCTCTCAAAGGCAGTAGCTAGTCAACAGAAGAATTCTTCAGTCATCCTAGCATTGTCTACACTGGGGCTTACATGCTTGAATGATACAGCTAGGTCAATCTAACTTTCTAGTAGAGGCCAGCTGTTGATTTTCTTCGTACAGATTGTGGAGAAGAATCTAGCTCTTAATTTTAGTACCTTTGCCCATTTTGTCTGAAGAGTCAATTAATGGCTCCCTAACCCCATAAGACCCCCATTTTAGGCCCTGTATCCTCCTACCTATCCTCTCACTAGGAAGATACACATGACAAAGTGATAACCAAAACAGCATTCCTTGAACAGCAGGCCAACATTGCTGAAAGCAATACAAAGCTCTGCTTTAACAATCAACGTTGCACCCATACTAGTGTTATCAGTTTAAAGTAGTTCACAACAACATTACTTGTAATGAGGCAAGACGAAATCATCTGTTTTTTTTCTTCCCAGGATAGCAAAAGATTGCATGGCAAGACACATCGTGACTAACAGCATCAGACAAAATCATTACTGCCACGATGAAAGAATATTGAAAATCCTAAACAATGAGAAGAATAACCTGCTCTTCAGGTTATGAAGTTGTAAAAGATAGTAGGATGGATAAACATATTCTGATGAAAATCCAACCAAGCTAAGACCAAAATTTATTACAGCTGGAAGAAATCATCAATGACAAAGAAAAGCTTTATTAGGGAGCCAAGTATCATTGAATAAAAATTACAGAAAATTAGAGGATTCCTCTCAAAAAAGGATGGGTTGGTTATATAAAATGCAGTAATATTCAATTTATTTTACTCTATAGGGATGAGATATGATAGGATTTATAGCAAATGAACTGTAAATATCATTGGTGTAAAATGTCATTGTGTATTACAGATTCTAGTATACAACAGTATCAGACATTTATAGCTTGGTTTGGACATTATAAAGCCTATTTAAAGAGAAATTAATTCAGCAGATGACAAGAGGATGCAAACTCAAATGTCTGAGATGAACATAAAAACCAAGGAAGAGGAAAGTTAGAAGAGGTGGATGTTCTTGCATGAGAACATCTAGGCCTAAAGTTATGTTTCCCATTATATAAACTTATTCATATATATCCCCCAAACTTACAGTGAAGCATCTGAAGTGCTAAAGGTGTTAACAGTGCCCTTAAGGTTAGATGCACCATCTTGCTTCTTGAGCAGAGACCCTGACTCTCACAGAAATGGGATGAAGATTAATTTAAGAGAAAGCCAGCTTCTTTTTTTAAACTTTCAGATTTGAATTAGAACCTTTTTGTACGCAGTTTTGTATCCAGTTTGTACACAGACTGCTTTTAAGTTTCTACTTAATTGCTCAGATTTTAACTCAGTCCCATAAAATCAAATTTGGTGTTGAAAGCTTCCGTATTGCTCCATGTGTGTTACTATTAGTCAATATTTAAGAATTGCCTCCAAAAATGTTCCAATAAATTTGTGAGCATGCCCTCTTGCAAGCAAATTAGTGATAATGCAGGCACAAATGGAGGGTTATATGTGCACATTTAGCATACAAGTTGTGGGTATATTTTGGAAATATCTTTGAAAATTACTAACTGAAAAATAACATTTTGGGTTTAGTTATATTATAGGCAGAGCTGGTAGCACAGTAAACAGGTGAAGTTGCTT